TAAATAAGAACGCGGAATGATCGCAGTATTGTTTATATGTACACCTAATTTATTCTATAGAAATGTCGATACTTTTTCATTGTAGTGTCCTCTAGCTTTTTATTATTTTTATTATTTTCATACCTCTAGATAATTTCTTTTTCTTTAATAATTATTGCAGTCTTTGTTCAAAGTGCCGCCTCTGCTTCGATGTCCTTCCGATATTTCTTGATCTTCTGAGGTTTCCTGAGGGCAGAAAATTATGTTATGATTTTTTATATTAGACTGTGGATACTAAAATTTGGTGAGTTGTACTGACTTTCCGAAGTTTTCACCGTCTTCCAGTGTCTCCGGAAGCGTGCAACCTACGGTTTCCGGAAGGAAGAAGCAAAGAGCAGCACCAATAAGAGGTAAAACCCCGAAACAAGCCGGTGGTAGCCAACTTTGAATGAGATCCTGTACGAAAATGTTCAATAATTTATCCAACAATAATATTAAAGTTTTAATTAACGTGTAAACTAATAAGTAGAGAATAATTTTTAATCAATTGTATATTTATTTTCAATATTTATTTACCTTCTGAAATAATTATAAAATTAAAAGCTCAATTATTAAAAAGTAACAGAAATGATTTTATTATTTGTTTATTGCGTAATGGTACCTGTTTTCATGATATAATGCGATTCAACAATTATACTTGAACTTTTGAGCGATTAAACATGTTACGAGAATTTTATTGGACCAAAGAATTTTTTGACGTAGTGCCGAAAACGATGTTTTCACATATTTAAGCAGATTACTTTTATTGTACAATATGTACTTAACGAATACGGTAAAATAAACCGTTGTTAGAACGTAACAACGATATCCTCGTTATCGCAGAAATAACAGAACTGTGTCGATTACGTATAGACTTACGTGAGAAATGATAAAACGAGTTTTACTAGTACGTAATTTTCTTCCAATAACCCCTTTCATTTTAATATTTTTTATTTCTCATAATAATCCGTTCTATTTTAATTTTTTTATTTTATTTTCATTTTCTGCTTAATAGAAAAACTATAGCTTTTCTTTGATATAATGCAAAGAAAATATTAAAAATAATTAATTTTTTTTCAAGGAAAGTACATTTTTTTAGAAGCATTTATTTTATAAAAATTTTAATAGAAATATAAGTGAAATAAAAAATCCATCGCACGTGTAATAATCTAGAAGATTAACTGCATTAATCTTATTCAAACAAATTTACCATTGTGTCTACCTTTATGACTACAATAAAATAATTAACAATATAATCTTGTTATTTTCTAACTTACCAAAGACACTACAAAAGGTGCCGAGATTGAGCCTATTCTGGCACACATACTGCTAGTGCCAACTCCTATATTTCTAATCACCGTTGGGAATAGTTCACCAGAAAATAGATAAACGGTGGTGAAAGAAACCGACATACCAACGATGCCGGTACAGACTAGAATTAATCGAAGCCACGCGAGATCTGCAAACAAGTAAAATAATTTATTTAACTTTTTGAAATTCATATTATACTATATATTTATCTATTCCAATCAATTAAATGTATCATGAATTTAAAATTCATTAAAGGTTAGATGCAAAAACTAGGCTAATTTTACAGAAAATAAAAAAAACTATTTCAAAATTTATTTCTTAAACTTATAATGAAATATTAATTTTGTAAAGAAAATAGAGCTATCTGGTTCTTGAGAGCTGCTGGCCACCAGTGATTCCCATAATGTTTAACGTGTTACTAAATTTTCATTAACAATTAACAAAAATACGGAAACCAAATATATACCCACCGTTTGAAACTACGATGAGTAAAAGAGCAGCGACACCAGTGATCGTATGGCTACAGATCAAAGTGATCCTGCGACCAAGTCTATTCATTGCCCACCAAGCAACGAAGTTGCCGGGTATCTGGATTGCACCGGAAACGGTGAAATTGATGAAAATATTTCCACCGACTTGTCCAATGTACTGCGACATTCCAAACAGTCCCATGCCGCAAACAATCCAGTTGAAAAAGATGGACAACGATTTTCTCCTCATGTTGGGTGTACGGAATAGATCCAGGAAGGATGCTTTGTGATCTAAACCCGATCTTTTCGAGTTCTATGGAAAAAATTATTCAATGACGATAAATATATCAAATTTTAATTTTGAAAAGTTTAATTCATTACAAAGAAATTATGTAATGATTATAAATAATTCCCAGATTAAGTAATTTTTATTTAATTAAGCAGGTAATTACAAAATTTCCTATCATAATAATGTGTGCAATATGTTTGTTTAGAACTTGACTGGAAAAAGAAAAGATTATAATTTTTATTAATTTGTATTTTAACTACCAATCAATATTGAATTTCAAAACGATTATCATTAATGAAAAATTTAATTTATTCGAAATAATTTTATATTGAATGAAATGATACAATCTGCATCAAAATGATTCATCCTCTGTATCTAAAAAGTTCTCAGACAGAACCAGTAATAACTCATTGAAAGAAAACTTGTCATCAAAGATATTTTTCTTTACAAATACACAACAAGATCAAGCTATAACCAGAATGTCTTAAATAAAACAATAGTACAACCTAAGGAACTTATCAGTGAGATTTCTCGGATATTGCAGACTTAAATATTCTGTATTAAAGTGTAGGATCTATATTGAAATTTATAATGAGGAAATGACTTATTAAAAATTTCGAAATGGCTTAACAATTAAGCTGATTTAAGTTGATTTTACCTGATGCAGACAGTGCTGTCTCACAAGCTCTGGAATGTCTTTATTTTTTATTTTGTTAATATTCGCCGCTTTTTGTAGGATTTTGCAGGCGGCACGTTGTTTTCCAAATGCGAGCAACCATCTTGGTGATTCGGGTACGATCCACCAATAACTCAGAAGGATAATGGAAGGAAGAGTGATGGCTATTTGAAGATGTTGCCAATGACGGAAGAGAAATGCGAGTCCAGCCAAGGACATATGGCCTAAGCTAAATGGAATTTGGTAAAGTACTGTGATAGCTGCTCGCCATTTTGTACCAACAATCTCCATACCTAAACAAATATTTGAAAAAATTATTAAACACAAATTTCAGAGAAATCTAATTGACTGGAAAAGTATTTCTTATTCTGATAAATTAAAATTTTGAAATTACTCACTTGGTAGCAATTTCGCCTATTTTTAATAATTATATAGAAAATTAATTATACAATAATAAACACTACAATTACTTACAAATAACGTAACTAGTAACCATTGTGCCCCCAGTAGCCAAAGCGCTAAGTAATTTCATTAACAAGAGTGCTGGAAACCAAGGCACGACAGCGCACCCAATACCGGAAACCAATTGAAGAACTACGGATACCATCAAAGGCATCTTTCTACCATACCTGATGTAACAATCCGTAAAATTTAATTATGTCTAATATTATTTGAAACACAGAAAATTTATGAGAAAATGAAGAGAAATATTGTTTGTACCTATCTGCTAAATTGCCAAATATAATATTGCCCAACAATACGCCGAACATTAAGATAGATTGCTGGATATTGGCGTAATGAGTTCGACTGCATACTAAGTTCCACTGAAATAATATAATCACAATCATAAAACAGTTTGTACAAATAAAATAAACGAATTATTGCAATACTAAATAATTTAAGTAAATACTATTATATTACAACATTAAAAAGATCTTAAGAATATTTTGTTGTTAACTTAAAAATAATCATTTTAATACTATAATCATGCATCTACTTGTAATTAAGAATATTATGATGTAGATGTTTAACTTCTCACTGTGTTACTGATTGTTTGGTAACAAATATTTTTCTTTTATTTTAAATATTTATATTTGCTATTTTAAAATACTGAACTGTGATTTAACAATTACAATTAATTATGAAGTTCAAATGAAATAGAAATAATATTGAAAATTATTTGTATTTCGAATACAATAAGAACTTGTTTGGCTTTGATAATTATTTAGAAATTTCTTATTAATTGGCCAGTCATGTGAGTAATGCAAATATTTACATTAAATTCTTGTCTACAACTATATATTCTACAAACTATTAAATTACAGACGTACATTTATCAAGCCTTCTTCGTTTCTTTTAATGAATTTTACAAGGTTGCATATACAATTTACACTAATAATGAGCAACACCCTCTACAAATAACTCCATTGAGACAGAGAGAAACTTTCGTTCACATCAATCATTTACATCATACGTTACGCATTACAATACAATTCCGTGGGTCAAAGTGCGCCAACAAATACTAAACTACAATCACTAATAAAACATACTGACCGAACATTTCCACTTACCCCAACGACACGCTTCGTTAAACGTCTAAATCGGTTTCATTATTCGTTTAACATCCGACTCATCGTTTCATTCGTTATCTTTCCATTACGAGAAAAAACGTAAACGTAGCACACACTACTCGTACTTTTTTTTTTATTAATATAAAGTATTAAGTAAAAAATCATTTTAAAAACAATTTATTTAATTGCAAGTCCGCCGCTGGAATTTAAAGCATCGATTATCGACGCTTCAGCTCGATTCACGAGCAAAGAGAAATTTGAAAAACGCGAAAAGTTTCGAAACTTACCTGGGATATGATGGTCTCCGTGAACATGCTTCTGTCGTACTCCCATTCTGTACACTCTGCCAATGTTCCATTGACATTGACTGTGCACTGATCAGATGTCTCTGAACGAGCTGGTGAGATACAGTTGTAGTCTTGATGTGGCGCCATGAAGACGATGGCGAGCTGGTGCCAAGCGATCGGGAATTTGACCAAAGAGATTGCCAGACAGACGTAAATTTGCCATCTGCCAAGATTCCCAATCGCTTCTTGCACGGCATCGACCTCTTCGCCATTGTCGACAACCTCTTCTTTGCCATTCGACACGTGCTTGCCATTCACTTCCGCTAAAAAAGGAAGAAAAGATTTTTAATCTCTGTGATAATAATCAGCTGACTGCGGATATTTTTCCAAGTATATTCTTTCTTTTTTAAAAATACGCTGAAAGGTATTATTTTCTTTTGCAAACTCTATGCACTTTGTATCCTCTGAATATTTTATTTTATTTTATTTTATATTATCTAGTATATATTACTATGTGTTGTGAATAGATACCGTGTAATAATCAAAGTGTTGTGGATTGTTTAATAATCAAGGTACACTCGTGATCAAATCAGACTTCCTCAGGAAAAATGGTGATGTCCAGGTTTCTCACCCTTCCCCATAGGCGTCCTCGGGGAAAATGACAATGTAAGAAGGGGGCCCTGTATGTATATGGTCCTATTACTTGCGTGTAAACATTTACACGATAAATTTGAATTGATATTTAGTTATTATTATTAATTTAGTTATGTATTAAATTTTACAATATTTAATAATAATATTAATTTTTTTAATACTTCTAATATTAATATCGTTAATATTATAATTTTTCCTGAAGAAGTCTGATTTGATTGCGAGTGTATCCGTACTCTAAGTATTGTGTTTAGCTCATTTTTTACTGTAAGTCCTATTTAGTGATTACGGTCAAAGAATTAGAAAATAAGTTTAACTATAAAGCTCAAATTAAATAACAGCAGCATACGATAAGTCTACTGGTAGTGAATATGATTGAAAATTGATTTAACCCTCGAATAGCAGAGCTGGGTCTAATCGTGAACCATACCTCTAAAACGTATTACACAACGGTGCATTGGCAACCGTGTACTCAAATTCATGAATCGGAGAAGAAATATCTAAAGAAATAATAAAGAATTTAAAAAATAAGCGTGCAAAATATCTAATATTAAATTTGAATTTTAAACCATACATTAGGTTAATAATTCGTTTTCTGAATATTAAATTTATATGAGATATCATTTCAAATTATTTGCTATTGTCAATTGACAGTACTATATTAATTAAAATAAATTGATAAAAGTACAAACAAGCTTGATCAAATCTTAAATTGTAATAATTTAGTATCCTAAATAATTTTCAGATCGCTGTCGAAAAAGTATAAACGCTAAGAGATACATAGTTGTCTTTGTAACAGCTCTATAACATTCATATGCAAATTAAAAACCTTCTGTATTAATACAATGATAATGACACTGAAAATACTGTTACGTGTCATTTTTATAGAAACAAGAAACAATTTTTTCTTTCTTGACGCTTTTTGTAACTTAAAAACCGTCTTACAGCAGAATAATTTCTGTTTGCCTGACCTTTCCATGTTAAGAAACTTGCATAAATACGATTACTCAGGCATGTACATAATTACGTACGTTCACGTGCGACTGTATTTTCGAACACGGATTCACGCGTCCGAATGGAAATATCTCTACTTAGCATTGTAGATTGTCTATAGCCTTCTTACCATGTTAGACATAACAATATTTTTATAAAACACTAGACATGCTGACTCAATTTGCAATAATCGATGCTCGTGCATTTCGATCTTAAACAGGAAGTCACAAAGATTTATTTCTTGAATTTTAGAATACAAATTTAAATCGCATTTGAAATAAAATTAATAATCCTCATCTTCAACGGTCAAAAATCTTCAAGTGCAAAATGATTTTTTAATTATTTTTGTAATTTAACATTCAACAATATTTCGTAAAATTTTTAAAAATTGACTTCAAATCTGTGAATCAATTAAAACGTGTATCAATTAACGAATCGAAAGGTTAATTTTTACCACTAATACGTCAGCAATCGTAAGCCTGGAACTATTGAATTACTTAAACAAGTGCCAAAGATAATTGAACGCAATGAAAATGCTGCGGTCAAACGTTATTAAACATGGTAAACACAAATAAAGACTCATCGATAGAAAACACACATCTAATGTAACAATGATTGCGAAGGCTAACTCGATTCAGCAATTAACAAAGTGGAAGATCGCGATTAATTGTCATTTTAATGAATCTGACCTTTTCTCGAGAGCAATGAATGAATTGCATTGCTAAATTATTAATTCATTCGTGATATGCTTCTAGTTTATTGTTCGGAATTGTTTGATATCCAACGACCCGCTGTCCAGACATCCTTGTATCGCGAAGAAAAAGATTTGCAGGAACTTCTCAATAACACGATAAATAAAAAAAGATTACAGAAGAATACAATCATATTCCCCATTGTTTTAAATGAATAACATTTTCATTGCAAAACATGTATGATTCTCTAACGAAATATTCATGTAATTATTATTTATATTCTAAAGATATGAATTGTTTCATATATTTACTTGATAATTATTCAAGGCAGCATTAATTATTACTATAATAATTTAATAATTACAGAAAATTATGACAAAAGGTGGAGAGCATAAGTAAAAAATAATGTAGAATTTAATTATGTGTTTTATGCAAAAAATGTTTGAGGGTCTTGGAATCATCCTTGCAACCATTGGCGTAACTAGGATTCTTTTCGGTGGTGGGTCAGGTCTTTTAGATTTATTAACAGTGTCAAATATTATAAGATAACAAATGAAAAGCTAAATTAAGAAAATGAAGCAATGGTATGATATATCATTGTAATTATAACATATCATATTATACGCGATCATTTTTATTATAGTAATTAACGTGTTAAATATCTATTAAAATAGATATTTACCATTTATGTTCAAACATGGTCTGCCAACGTTCTAAAGCTCGTTAAAATCTTAAAGTATTATTCTGTAAGCTTTCTTAATGGATGTTCCGTTATATTTCATTTTTTCATCTTTCTTTCATGTCGGTATACGTTTATATTTCAGCATTTCTTGGAATTCAAAAAGTATCATGTTTGCATTTGTTTTAAAATCATACCACTTGTATCATTGATTTATTGCTTTGACGTAGACGATATAAGGAACCGAAAAATGGTTACTGTATATAAGCAAATGCAGTTGTAATCATGGTCGTTTACCTTTCAAACACGATACAAGATAATATGCAGTAATATATTTCCTTCATTGTAAGAAATTGGTAAACTTGTTAAGTCTTAGACAAAACAAAATAAATCATTTACTTATCCAGAATAATGATATTAAGCTTCGTATTTTGCAAACAGATCATTATACTTGTTACCAATATCAAGGTTTTTTCAGTTTATTTTCTGAATTTTCAATCATTCTTATAGATAATTAGAGGTATTATATGTATGTAATTTAATACCATTTTTTTATTTTTTTTAAACAAAAAGTGAAAGGTTAAAAACGTTTACTTAATTTTTATAATTTTTCAGATATTTGACACCGGAGCAACCAAGTTCATAAAAATGATGGATATCAAATTTTTTATTTTAAATTACAAAAATGATCGAAGGGCTTTTGTTGAAATAAATATTAACTTTTGTAGAAACAAAAAAATGATTATATTTGCTCATTTATTTTTCATCCTTCGTTCATTTATTTAGTAGTAAGTGTACATCCAACACCAGTTGTTGCAATGTTCATTAGAAATATTAATTGATCAGCTGGTGTAACAATGAAAATAATTATAAAATTGTGCTTTATAGTACCTATAGAATTTAGATTAACAGTAACTATTATACGATTAGTGTCTTATCAAATATTTTTTGAACGACTGCATCGTGCGTTTGATAATGGGGATGTTGCAATTTAATATCATGTAACATATTGACAATTGCATTCACGTAGTTAATAAGTCACTCAAACGTTCACGTGCATTATCAAAGGCGGCTACATGAATCCAATGCTTTGTTTGATTTGCGATCAAGATGAGTTAATGAATTACGTAAACCTGATGTTTAATATATTCGTACGCATCTTGTCCACGTCTTCAGAGACGTAAGATTAATTGAACTGCGCACTTCTGCATTGAAATGATCAACAAATTATTAGTAATATAGCTATTACATAGAAAAATGCATATCTTAAAAGTAATAACAAAATATATTATACTAATATAATATATCAGTACAATAATGTAATTGCCAATTTTGTTAACTCATGTTTGAATGGCAGGAAACAAGAATAAGCATATTAATAGAGTAAAATGAAAGCGACAGCGCTATCCTTGGAAACATGTAGATTAGTATCTCGGAAAAATTTGTATTTATTGATTCGCTCTACTTTTAGTCGTGGCTCGTACAATTAGAAAGCTAATTTTTGTCGTTTGTTAAATATATTGCACGCGAGAACAACCGGTTCTCCAGACAACAATTTATTTATTCTAATTATTTTTATATTTTTAAAATAGATTACTCCTACGCATTCGATTTGATGCCGTGTAAACAGGGAACGATTTGCAAGCTAAAGAAAAATTTTAATAATATTACGACAGCAAAATACGTGTATTATGATTTTTTCCTATATAAATTGATAACACTAACTCAGAATAAAAATAAGAAAATTAATATGTGCGTTTTTTGTATTTTAAAAAATTTAGATGTTTAGTCACTGTCTACTGTTTTCTGTGAACCTTTTCATAAATACTTATCACCGAAACTAAAATTCAAGAATTCCAATTTCAGCGAAGAATTATTACATTGCTGTCATATACTTCTTTTATAGGGAAGCAGAAAATCTTCAAACAGTAATTTTGACGATATTCATATTAAAAGTGATTTAGAAAAAAATAACAATTTTCAATTATTAAATGTTATAACATTTAATATATAATTAAGAAATATGAATTCGAATTCTCCCGCGTAAACGTTCATACGCAAGTGGCGGGAGGCCACATTCCTATATATACGAGGCTGTCCCAGCTTCATCGTCATTCTCCCTGCAGCCACGTATAGGGTAGAGCGGAAGCCCGACCAAAGGACGACCTGCGGGGAGAGTGAGGATCGCGTGAAACCGAAGAAGCATGTCATGGCTGGTACTGTACAATCGTATGAAGCAATTATGAAGCAATTTTAAAATTATGTGAAGCAACGTTAATGTTATTATAGTGTAAATTACACAAATTATCTGTGTACTATTAGTTGAAAACCACTGATGTAAAATATTAAGATGGAATTAAAATCATTTATTAATATAAAAATTAATAAACCGGTAAGGGAGCACCTTTTCAGATTGCATAAACGTTTTCGAATCTCCTGTTAATAGAGTTTTTCTTAAATAAACTTTACTGATAAATAAGAAATTTATCGCATCATAAATTAAAATTTTTGGTAGCAAGTGATTGCAAAAATAATGTTATAAATTTGTCAATCATCCCTTTGAATTATACAAGGTCATCTTATAAGTAATGTCGTCGCTTATCTTTGGTGAAGTAAATCAGTGGATAACATATTATTCGTTTCGAGCTTTTTAAATGAAAATTAGACAGTAACTGTTAACATCTGCAATTAACGACTTACTAAGTGCAAAATCCATTAGTATGAAAATGCCAGGTATGACACTACGCGATCATAAATTGTTTATATTTATATAATTACTTGACGTTAATTATCCATTTATTCTGTTCACTATTTCAGTACTTAATTTAGAAAAGATTCAACGATAATAAGAGAAGCAAATTCTTAATTTATCATTGGTAGAAAGAAATAATAATTTTTTTAAACACGATAAATGAAAATTACCTGGAAAGTGTACAATGTACAGTCATGAAAGGATGAGGAATTATAGGATACTCTATTATTATGCACGGTGCCCAGCTTTCTAATTAAATAACTTTTCATTCTAATTTGTCTTACTTTGTAAAGTTTAAAAAAAACACACAACAGTTCGTTACTCTTCAATCGTTTAAGATTCACTTACAATTCACTTGAATCGGCATTGAAAACGAATGATTAGCTCTGGTAGCCGTTAATGAGATAACGGTCGAAAGAAAAAAAACTACAGTACTCTTAATTAAACTGTTGACTCCGGATCAATTACCGTTCATTTGCAATCGTCATTGCTCAGTGACGAACACCGTTGTCGACGTTATACGTCGACATGTTATTGCTCAAGAAGAGGGTGTGCGCCGGAAAGAGTAATACGATTGGTCGATAGGGCACCCTCTTATCGGGCACAAATGTACTTCGATACACTTTCTTACATGTGTTTGCATGTCAACCGCTTCGTGCAAAAACGAGATGCGGTTTTGATCAAAAAAACCGGTTATAATTACTCGACTTCATACCGAACGGAACTGATAAAACGAAAGAATTGCAAGAATTGTCGGTGATACTTCATGGTTTCAGTCTTGAAAGGATCGAAAAGAGTTCAGATATATACCTTCGACAAAATTTACATAATTTTCAATTTTTTTATTCAAAAATATTCATAATTGTAGAAGTTATAGTTAATCACCCGAAAGCCTTTTTTTAGTAGCGTTTTGAAATTATATTAAGAAATACTGGTTATAAAAAAAAGTATCAGAATAGAGTCTACCTTCTAGACCTTGGCAGTTAAGAGTTAGAGGGCTTTTTTCAGAATATATGTTTATTTCTGTTGAGATACCAAAGTGATTGTATTGGGTGAAGCACATAACTGGAATCATTTCGATAACTTTTTTAGTTGAAGGGTTTATAAGAAGGTCATTTCTTTTATCATCTGTGTTTTTCGAAATAAGAAGGTCATCTTCCATTTTTTAAACGAAGATCAAAGTTTTCGTTACAACGAAGGTTGTAGATAACATTGAAACATGCTTAGTGATACGTACTGAAATGGTAATTGAACAACTTTTAAAAAAATTCGACCAATTTACTAAAATAAATTTGTAATGAAGAATAAAAGTGTACTTATATATTTATTTATATAATTATATTGATATTAGTGAAGGCTACTTCAAAGAGAAGTGATTCTATCACAGAAACGTATAAATCCATATTTAATCGGTATGCGAAAATCAAAGCCAGTACTATCCAAATCAATTAATTATTAATTTTGATATATCAGAATCGAAATCGTAATAAGATTTTCTATCTAATCTATTAAACCAATTAAATCCCTTTTTATATTTTTAAAGTTTATATACCAATACTTCAAATTTCAATTTTTAATTTCTGTATAAAATTGCATTTGTATGTAAATCATATTTCTATTAAATAATTATTATGTATAGCACTCAGCATGTTTCATATTTTCCCTTCATTTATTACTTTGCTCAAAAAATCCATCGTTTATGTAACCATCGACGAATCAAAATTAGACTTTCATACATACCGGGAAAGAAACAACTGAACGTGATAAGGAATACTTTGAAGTTGATGATAAGATGTAACAAAGGATTCATTATATTGAGAATCATTACTTGACGATAAACTCACACTTATAAATTTCATTTCATATCTTCTTATTACAACATTATATTGTAATATCATCTTATTATAAATAATAATTAATACGTTTATCGTATCCTAATAATTAAATTTTATTTTGTTTATAAGAAAGATTGCTTCATTTGTTGAAACTTCACAGTATAACATATACGTATACACCATATTTATGAAATGTTTCACTAGCTATTATGTTAAACAAAGAACATTTTTGTTACGAAATCGTTTGATATCAGTATACTTAACGCCAACGTGAACTTGCATTTAATATTCGTCTGTCTGCTGTGTAAATTGAACCGGTTGAACTTTCCTTCTTCGAACTTTGTTCGGGTCAAATTGAGCAAAGTTCCCCAACGAATGAATCATGGAGTTCGATAATTAAAATGTATCATCTAAAACACCGTTTTCTCGTGTAATCTTATATTATAATGGTACATGCATAAATAAGAGTGACTGATTCACAAATACAGTTTTAGAAACTAAAATAACAATACTTTCAACATCAAACGTTCTTAAAAACAGCAAAATAGATTAAAATTGACTAAAAATTAGACAATTAGTCAATTTTTAATAATACTCTTTGTTAAGAACATAGTTAGTTGCCTATAAATTGATTTATAACGTTTAAAATGAATCAAACCTTTCTCGAGCACTCTGCTTGTCTTAATAACAAGGAAGTAATGGCAGGGACAAATGGTTACAAACAAGGCACTTCTGTGATCCCTCAAGATATTCATTTCATTAAACACGCAATTGCGGTTCTAATATAGTTTCATTTACCGTTGTTACACAATTCTCGTAACACTTGTTTTACGATGTCAAACGTACAGGCAAGATATAACTGAAAATGGCATATGCCTATCCATTACAGTTGCAAACAATTTGACTGTAAATACAGTGGACCAAAAGATATAGGGGTCACTTTACTTCCTTGCAATCATTTTATATAACTCTTTGAAACACGTTAGGACTAAAAGTATTCCACCTTTCTTAATACCATAATATTTATAGTAGGATATTTTTTATACTACCCTGTAAAATTAAAATTACTTTACTTACTTTGTTAAATTTTATGAAAATAAAATTTCTGTAGAATATGGGCTTTTTCATTTACTAAAGTTCCGTGCTTCAAAGAGATATAAAATTAAAAAAAAAAAAAACAAAGAACAAACCGTATTACATTAAGTAATAAAATACAACGATGGTAATATTCTACTAACTTAATAAGACTGAGCAATTCATATTTGAATTAATAAAAGAGTAAACCTGTTGTCAGTAATATCATTCAATAGCGTTCTTGAGTGTAATATCAGTAATAGCGTTCTTGAGAGAGTCTCTTTCATTTACCTTAGATCCTTTATTTAATTTAACAGAGATTTCGAAGTTCAAAGCATTAATCATAGATTTCTTATGTAAGAAAAAGAAAGAATCAAAGAGATACAATCGTTTTCATTCTTCTACTTGACTTCAATTACTCCGATGCCGTTTACGGGTATGAATCAACTTACCAGTAATTAAAACATTACATGACATAGACAACACCCACGTGGATTGTTATCCGTGCAAATATAACCTACGTAAATTGAAATGAAATTCGAGGAGCTATCAAATCAACTATGCAATAACGTTTCCATGTAAATAGCTGAAACAAATTAGAATTTAAAGAAGAAAAATACTATTATTTTTCCTGTTGGTTTTCCCGAAATCACTTATCATACATATCTTGAAAGCTATACGTCTAATTATTATCAGACGGAAAAGCGGCGGAACTCATTCATAACACTGGGAAACACAAAGGGAAAATGAATTTTCATTAAAATTGCTAATCCAGAGAATTAATAAGATTCTGTGCGTTTACACATTATACATATATGAGTAATGATTATTAGAAGGAGAGTCTCTCAAGAGCGCCACCGATATTATGATTATAAATGCATGATTACGATTGATATCTTCTGCTATATTGATAAAATTAGTGAAAACCGTTCATTTATATGCATTTTGTTAAATAATGAAACAATAGTAATCACAATACAAGGACAAAATGTTTATCAACAATAAGATACCTGAAGTGAGATTTTTGCAATAATACTGTAAATGAATTTTTATTGAATTTAAGAAATTCACAAAATTGTAAATTCAGTATATAAATTTTCAGACTCGTTTTTCTTCAATCACCACTGAGTAATATTTTTAACTCCAAAATTGGTTCTCGGAAAAAAAATTGGAACAAGATTCTTTGGTAATGAGTTCGTACCGTTTGATCCTTTATTACGTTTAAGTATAGCAAATGACGAGGAAACCAGTTTCAAACAAAAAACCGATCGACGGGTTCATGTGAACCGTAAAATGGTACGGTAACCTCGAGACAGTGGAAAAGTAGCCTTCATTCCCATGCGTGCAACTTCGTCTACCTTCTTGGGAGACTCGAACGATCCACGCATATTACCAGTCTTTCTAGATCAAACGCTTCCCTCGATTTAACGCTGATTCGTTGCAGTGCAACCGAAGAGATCGTTTATTCTCATGCGAGAAATGCATCATGATTCGAGGGCATTGTCTTTCACGCGAATAAATTTTGTGACCGAGGACAAACAGTCCCTGAAGCTGAACTGATGGAATTGCAAAAGCAACCTACTTTAAGTTTTATATCTTGTCCGACATGAAAGTAGATGAGAAAATTAACCCTCGCTGTAAATATCCTTTTATTTTATATGCTGTTGATGAATTTATTTAAAACAGATCATTGTATTTAATTATATTTAATTGCATTTAATTTCCTAGTGATTTGATTACTCTTTGCCTATAGTTCGCTTAAAGTGGTTTAATGATTATTATGATGTATGAAAACATTCAAATTCTCATGAAATTGAATTAATATTAAATAGAGAATAGATTGACATACCATAACTGTTGGTTTGCGTATTCTTCATATCACTGTCTGGTTGTGCAGCTATTTTGTTTCTTTGCGATACGTGCACGTTTTATTTTCTTTAATGTGTTATCTGTAACATGGAAATTCATGAATTTTTATCTGTTCAAAGAAATTTAATTACCGCTCAATATGATCAATAACTTTGTTTCAATTTTATACTTTGTAGAATTTTATAGGCAAGTTTCAATCCGATAATGATAGCATTAATCATAGATAAAATACGTAAATTTATTTATTTAAAAAATTTTTAGTTTTACATAAAGGAAGGAAACTGGCTTAACGATTAGCAATAAAATCTCTATAACTATAAAAGACACGAGGAGAAAAAAATTATAAACGCGAAGTTTATTGCTAATAACTTTGCAAGCAATCGTCCTCCATCCGTGCAAAAAGCTAATTATCTTCTATCAGTTCAATCAAAGAAACGTTAATTAGTCACTTTTTTTCGATTTCTAGACATCCTGTAACTCTATGTAAATCGATTGTAATGAAATCTATGCGTTTGAATGTAGAAAATCTATGCCTCAACTGGGTAGAGGCCAACGTGGGCTTTCCCACCCCAGAAGGAGATTCAAGTTACGCCAATGTTAAAAGCATTATTTACAAAAATGAGTTTAATGGAGTGTAATTTATTTAAATATAGATTAAAATAATTTATCTTTTTCAAAGAGAAGCTATAAATTTCTGAATTTCAACCTACTACTACCAACTTTACTCTCACCCACCTTATTATCAACTTCAATAAATTTAATTTTCAATAAGATTAAAATCTCCAACTTACACTAAATCCACTACAAATATTTACAAAGATTAAATAAATAAATCTTGATTACATAAGGTCGAAATTCTTTTATAAATATTGTTAAAATATTCCCAAAAACACAGTTCCACATGTTTACAAAAGAAAAGCCCAAAATCGTCTAAATATCGACGTTATCAGATAAATTAAACCAGTACAGTAGGTCTGAGTTAACTGGAGATAAAGGAAATTCCATATTACATCAAATCTGAGTAAACCCGAATTAAGTTCTCAACCAGTTAACTACCCCGTCATTTTCCAACGCAACTATTACTTCGGCTCCTTCCTTTTTCCTTTATATTTCGTCCCAAACATCAAATTTGATAATCGGCTGCAATAAAAAAGCAATAAAGCCTCGTCCACGAATTTCCAAACACTCGAGTTTCAACCTCGCCCACCAAGAGCCAGTTAAACGTTTCGTAATGCAAATGCTACCTCGTTAAACGCCCATGAATCTTCGAGCGAACGTAATCGAACGTTGCAGGATTACCAAACTGCAGAAACATCGATTACAGATGGCCGATGTGTCCACCGTATGCCTGTTTTCAGAGGCAAGAATCAGGACAATGCAAGTCTCGTTAGAAGGACAGAATGTTATTGACCCGTGAGTGACAGAGAGAAAGGGAAAGCAAAAGGAAAAACTGTTAAAGTAGCCAGTACGGTGAGCAAAGAAAATCGCAAATATCCATGATCGTTCGGGAACGTTACGACGCTTATTACCGGAGCTGATTGTTATTATATACCATGCACGAGGATGCTAATTACACGATTAGGTGCCACTAGGAATCCTGCAAGTGGCATGTATGTGCGATCACAGCCGATAATTTGCGATTTTTTCGAGACGAAGTAATGCCGATTCCTTCCAGAAGAACCAACGTGCGATTAATCGACAGTCAAGCTAATTGCAAGTGTTTGTGTGTTGTAGGGTCAACTCACTGGCATGGCGCCATGATCAAGCATGCTTGCTGATGGTTTTAATACCACGATGAATGCTGATGTAGTACTTCATTCAATTTGAGAATCGTATGAGCTACTGCCCATGGTTGCTATTATTTTACGACGGATAATTGATCGTGAAAGTTAAATATGATCTAAGAAAATTTGGTAATCTCCAAGTTAAAAATTGATATCTCAATTTGCAGCTGTCATTATTCTTTTGCAAATTATTTTTTCAAAAATCTAGTCAACACAGACTATATAATTTATTATTTCTAGTAATCTAATTTTGACCCTCTTAAGTATTCATATCCCCCTAATTAGAAATTTTTTTATTCTTAAAAATAGAATAAATCCAACTGTTAAAAAACAAATCAATTAAGCTAGTTTCATCTATAGAGGGTGATCCATGCAACTGAAGCAAGTCTTTCTTTTCTGTTTTGATTATAATTAAAATAAAATATTATAAAACTGGAATACATAGCTCAAAGAAGACCATGTTCCTTTTGAAAGTAAGTACACTAGTGATCAACTCAGAGTTCCCCAGGAAAAATGATGATTTCTCCTATAGGTATCCCCGGGGAAAGTGGCAACGTAGGGAAAGAACCCCTATACATACCAGTCTGGCTCTATCACTTGCGCGTAAACGTTCATGCGCGAAAACTTGAATTGATGTTTATTTGTTATTTATATTTCTTAATTATATACTAAGTTTTATAACATTTTGAGAATTCCTGCTTCCCCTATATCGCCATTTTCCCTAGGGAAGCCTAATTTGATGGCGAGTAGTACAGTGATGCAAATGCTATTTATATGTGGTTATACCACTTACAAACCTTCTCGTGTAAGAAACACAGGATTCCAGTTCACAAAATGGTATTAAATTTCCACAAAATATTAATTTCAGTATAATCTTTGTTGAAACTTACTGGATATTTAATACTAATTACGATGAAGTTAATATTGTTAACAAGAATTGTCTTATTTATTGAACAAATACCCTCCTAAGGTATTTATAGCTGAAAGATTTACCTTGAACCGTTGTTTATAAGATATTGCAACATTAATCAGTCCTCTGCACAACTACCATAGTTGTACAATGATTTATCTTATTGTTCAAAAACATAAGGTCCCTTAGATTTATCGCGTTACTAAATGTTTTGATATGCAAATGTACCAAAGGAATACATCAAAGAATGTGATGCAATTGTAGATAACAGAGTGCGAAGTATACGAGATCTAACACATTCCATTTGTTGATTTTCATTTCTTTATTTTTTTTTAATTTGATGTTATACACGCTTACCACGATTGATAACTACGTCAATATCTTATTGCTTACATCAGACGTCTACGTCTACGTAAGTAATAACATGTTTCGAGATTTCCATATTTCAAATATTTTTTCTTAATTTTAACTTTGATATGTTATTTTTTAATTCTTTTATCCATTTCTTACTGGCGTAAGTAGATTTTTAATTTTATCAAATTTTAATAATTTTTATATTCCTTTTCTTTTTCCTAGTTGTTCTGCTTTGTTTTATAATATAAAAATAATTAGGCTACTACTAGAGAAAAATTAAAAAACATACTTTTACATATGTAATTCATCCCCCCAAAGGCAAGTTTCCTGTACCCTCTGAATGCATTGATTTCAATTTGATAATTGTTCATTTTGGGGCATAAATTACCAAAACTTTTAAATATAATTTTCTCAGTATATAACTCTTTTTCGGTACATAATTACTAGATACATTGATTCCATAAATACGTAACCGTCAAAATATTGCTACATATTGTTTTGATGTACATTGTTATTCTCACAATGTGTTTATGTTTTAAACATGGCGCAGACAAAATACATTCTGAAATAACAGAGTTACGATCACGTCAGTCGACTAAAACATTGTTTACAATTAATCGTATTATCTCTGTAAATCCATTAGTAACATTAATTTATTAACAGAACGCGAAAGCTTCTATGAACTTTTTAAGTGGGTTACTGGTCTATTTAAGATACGTAATCAGCTACTTATTTGAAAAATACTATGAAACCTGTCGTCGATACTGTAATGTATTAGAAAATGTTTCAATCTACACAAACACCATAATTCTTCGACTTGAGATCACCAGTTAATCGCTCCCAGTATTTCTCAACAGAAATTCTCAGTAAAAACGAGAATCTACATGTATTCAGAATGTAAGGAAAATAGCCATAGGAATTTCCAAGTACTGAGGAAAACTGATTATTGCTTAATAAACTCATAAAAAGTCCTTTCAGGCATTTCCACGCATCAAGTATATAATTTTTGTGACATTTAAAATTATTTGTAATTGACTAAATAACCTCGTTCCTACTAAAACAGGTGATTAATCTCTATAGACATTCATATTTCATTTATTTTTTCATTTTTATTTAATTCAGCAAATACTAATTATAACGCAAATTGTGCAGCGTACATAAATTAACATTTTCAAATATGATTCTATTAGTACTGTTTTGTTAAAATTGCAAGAGTCAAAGATTCTACAAAATATATGGTAATTAAAGTATTGAGAAACTAAGAAATTGCAATCGTTTTTATAGCAAGATCAAAATAGTCACAACTTCACAAAATGAAAAGTTAAACTTATCAGTAATTTGAAAAACAGTTTTATAGATCAGTATTAACTTCTGAGTGGCTCGAACAAGCTCATTGAGAGCACATTTTTAAACCGGTTACGAAACGGAAGTTACTTCAACAGAGTGTACTTGAGATAAGAAGCTTTGTTATTAGCGTGCTCGGAATGATAACCAAATTCATTTATCATGTATTGTTTACTACATTTTTCCTCTATTCCATTTCTAAACGAAGTTCCAAAATTTTTATTATTTTCACATTGTAGAGAGCCTATTTACCTGCATAGATGAATTAGTCATGTTTTGACAATGAAGAAGTTACATCTGTGAAAACAGTCGCTTGTACCTACTAATTATTTATTGATGAACCTTAACTTGTTAATATGTTTATATATCGTACATTTTAATCAACATAAGCCACAAACTTGTATGACTTGTACGAACCGGATATGACTTGTGTCTGTATACGCATGAATATTGATGGAGTAGCAGGAAACAGTATTCTCAAAATTCTTAACCTTTCGGCTGGTTCGTTCTTGTTTTTTGTTCATTGGCTGTTATACATAACTTACTTACACTGCATTGGAAATCAATTATTGCCGACAAC